TTTTTTCTTTCTGATTGGTGGTGGGATAAACATGGTGCACATGTTCTTTTGATTCTTTTTTTTACCGAAATATGCAAATATAGAAGGAACAAAAAAAAAAAAAAGATAATAATGAAATGAAAAACCAAAGCCGTTTTCTTTTTTTTTTGTCCTTCTGTATTTTCGTTTTTGATAGACACACATACTGATTGATTGATTGATTGACTGTGATTGGTTGATTGGTTGATTGGTTGATTGATTGATTGATTGATTAACTGTGATTGGTTGATTGGTTGATTGATTGATTGATTGATTGATTGATTAACTGTGATTGGTTGATTGGTTGATTGATTGATTGATTGATGGATTGATTAACTGTGATTGGTTGGTTGATTGATTGATTGATAAAAAAAAAAAAAAAAAACGAATGTGCTAGTTTGTGTGTGTGCACGCGCGGGCGTGTGTGTGTGCGTGTGTGCGCGCACGCGCGTGTGTGTGTGTTATATGCATTGCGTGGCTTCTGCGACCATGTCACAGCATGATGTGTTGAAGAGTGCGCTTATAAACAACACCGGGAAGGAGCCGGAGCCAGGGATGCCCATAGAAAAGAATGTTTATAATGCCCAGCTTTCAAAAGCCAGGGAACGAAAAAAAGGGGGGGGGAACAAAAACCAAACAGACCAGCAGTAAGACAAATGAAACAAGACAAGAGTCGAGAAGCATCCCGGCAACAAGACAGACAAAAGAACAAACAACAAAAAAAACACAGCAAAGAAAAACACAGCAAAGAAAAACACAGCAAAGAAAAACGAAAGATTGTTTCGTCGGAGTTGCACCGACTCATCAGGAGGCTGAACCCTCGACAATCTGCGGAATCTCTGTATTTGATGGTTTGGGTCATGAACCCTTTGACCCTCGTTGAAGGCCGACTGTCCCCAAGCGGAACATAGCAGTGGGCAACAACCCTGTGGAGCACCAGGCAACACAGTAGAGGCAACACGGCCGCACAACGCCAAAAACGACTGCAAGGAACGACGTGGCACGCAGGGCATGCAGCGTGGCAACCGTGTAGTGAAGCACAAGACGACACAAACAAGGCAACAGTACTGGAGTGGACGACAGGGCGAGCGGACCAGCAGGTCAGCAACCGTGGTACAGAGCACAAGGCACCAGCAACAAGGTAACCAACTTACAGGGCACACAAGCAGCAAGCACGGAAGGCACAACCAGCAGATGAGCAGCACGACAGCGGAGCAGCGAAGCGCAAGGCAACACCAACAACATGGCCACGGCGCACAACGAACGCATCAACCTGCAAAGTACCACATGCGAAGCAAGCTGGACAGGCAGCAGGGCAGCAGCGGAGCGCAGACAAGGATGTCCACACATCCAACACGGAGCAAAGCAGCACATGACCTACTCACATCACGATTAAACCCCGCAGACTGTTGGTTCCCACCACCCACTGAGCCAGGGAGTTACTCCGACGAACATCCGTCATCACCGACAGGCAACACAGACATCCCGAACCGAGCAGCCCCCATAAGAGTGCAGTAGGCACTCCAAACGAGGAACCACCGACTGTTTGGCACAACTTAAGGGTGCTCAGTTGGGCACACAAGAGAAGATTCGAAAAAATCAAGGGAAAGACAAACAACAGAAGAAAGACCAACATATATAAAACTGATTGTGTGTGTTTGTGTGTGTGTGTGTGTACGCGCGCGTTTGTGCGTGTTTGTGTGTGTGTAGTGGGTGTGTGAAACACGGCTATCCCATTTATTATGGGACACGAAACCATACCTTTGTCCATTGTAGCATAGGATGATACGCCATTCAAAGTTAGCAGCAGGATATTCATAACAGTCATCTCCATTATAGGAGGAGGAAAGGGAGGTAAGAGTTATTAAGGGGGGAGCAACTAAGAGGTTAGTCAGTAGTTAGGATCAACTTGGTTAGAAGGTATCCGAAGGGGGGGTGCACGCCCTGAAGCACACTTTTCTCAGCCTAGCACCCATAGCAGCTCATCAGAGGGAGAGCTTCTAGCTCCCATTACTAGATAATTGCAATGTCATGTTAGCGTATACGACAATTTAGAAACAAGGAAGTAGTTACATTCTTACCTGTAGGTGGAACGTTTGTGAAGATGAAGCATCTTCGACGGTAGCCATCGCCTCTCAAAGGTCTCATGGTACCGCAGCCCGCAACGAATAGCGCTCGTGGCACCAAGGCCTGAGCGTGTGCTAGATGCCGGGCAGCCCACGCTCAATTAGCAGGTGTCTTGTCGTATGGACGAGCTTGAGGATGTGATCGTGTTTTAGCAGAGGAGGAAGGGGGGATGAAGTAGAAGCGGATGGAAGGTGCTGATAGCGAAGGCTTGCAGAAGCTGCAGGTACATGTTCGCTCTGTAGTGCCAGTGCGTTCGCAGGTATGGCCGACAAGGATGGAGGTGCTTGTATGTGTCATTGTATATAATGTAGTTGAACTGCTTGCAATAACCGGATAGTTGCATGCGAAATGGTGAAGGTAGCACGGGATCGTCTATCTAGGTGGGTTTATGAGTGGGGGTTGTTTCGTGAAGAGGTTGTGGGCAAGTATTTCAGTGTATGAGGGGGTGCGCGAGTTTGCTGATAGTGCCTGTAGGCGTGTGTATATGGGTGTTGGATATGATATGCGTGGGTTTTGACTTTTGCGTGTGTTTGAATGTTTTTGATGAAGTGGTGGTACTTCGCCCTATGTCGCATATGTGGTTTTTGTTTTTGTTTGGATGCAACGTGTCAAGCTCTTGGGGATGAGCGTGACCTTAGGCAGCTTGCAGTGGTCAGCGCGATCTCAGAGTGATTAGTTGTGTAGTGCGTCGGTGATGCTTTGAGCTATGGCCCTTACGCTGCTCTTGTTTTTTTGTAGTTGTCTCTTGGCAAGCTTCTGGTGATGAGTCATGAGTATTTGTCAACATGTACCGTGTTGTCCGGAGGGTCTTCAATTGTTGTGTAGGAAGAGCCAGGACGTCAGACAAAAGGTGTGCCTCTTCATTTTTGTGGAGGGTGCGGCGTCGTGTGATGTACTCCTCGTTAGTTTTCAGTTTTTTTGGGGGGGTCTACTAGTCTCATAACTTTTCTCATATGTGTGGGACTTTGCGTATATTTAGTGAGTTACATTGTTGGCTTTGTAGGGTGTGGAAGAAGTGGTCTATTTGTTACCCGTGGTTATGATTGTCTATATGGTTGTCCCTTGGGTTCTCAAAAAAATCACGGAAACTCTTATTTGTTTTTTTTTTTTTGTTTTTTTTTTTTTTGGGGGGGGGGGGGCTAAAATTAATAAATATATATCCTTAACTGTGTATAAAATTCTTATTATTCTTATTATTATTTTTGTTATGTATTTATTTATTTGTTTATATGTTAATTTATTATTATTATTATTTTGAAAATTTTTTATGTGTGTTAGGTTGTTTTAAAAAAAAAAAGATTAAAAATGGGAATTTTTTTTTAATAAAATTGTGTGTGTGTGTGTGTGTGTGTGTGTGTGTGTGTGTGTGTGTGTCCCTCCCCATACCCTCGTAATGGAGGTCCCGGAGGGGTAAGTCCTTAGACGTCGGACCTACCCCATCGGGGGTAGGTCCTCCATCTGAACCAAGCCAGTTCTTAGGCTTACACACACAGCACGTTAATGCATTAACCGTGGGAGAGGTTTTATTATTATTTATGTAAATTTTGTGTTGAATATTATTACGATTTATTATTGTGGAGTGTCTCGAGTATGTCCATGTGTGTGTGAGTGTTAGGACACAGTGAATAAACGCGTAGAACAAAGATACATCGGTGTAAGGCCAGGATGGACGTGTATACATGTATGTGGCATTTTTAAATCCTCTTAATTGTACTTGATCGTAGGTGTTTTGCGATATAGGATAGTGTATAAAAAGGAAGGGTAAACGTGTATGCAGACCTTAGCATGACTGTGTCTGTTGTGACATCATAGCGTACGCAGATATTACGTATCAGTCGTCCAACTTATTAGGTTTATAGCTGTAAGTAGAAGTAGCTCTGACGAAAAGTGTCGTGATATATAGAGCTAGAATCCATATGGGTTTATACGGGAAGACAATAAAAAATAGATGGTAGATAGTATATAAAAAACGCATATTCATATATCTGCATCTGATCCTAATAGTAATTGTTGGTGACTGTATGTGCACAGTTTATGGCATAGTATGGCAATGTAGGAAATCTTTGGGGTCAATAAAACAACATACAGGCAGAGTGGCAAAATTGAGGTAAAATGTGCAAATTTATACGAGCATGTTTGTGCGTTATTCCTAATTATAATAGTTTTGCGAGAGCATGTATATGCATAGGACAACGCCTAGTGTAGGGACAGAGGCCTAGGGGAATACTCATATATCGTAACAAAAAAACATAACACATAAAGAAAGCAAGGGAGATAGTGACAACGTTTTTTTAGATCTTTTTTACAATTCCCACTGTTCAAAATTTCATACAAGCAAGGCCGCCTGCTTGGACAACGAATGTCATCGCCATCGTATGTCATGTTGACGCACTTGCAAATAGCCGAAGAGAACAAGGGCATGGAGGAAGACAACCGTTCACGACAAATTAGGAGGAACAAATCCTATGTAGGTATCATCCCCATGTCATGGTCTGAAAAAAACATTTGTCTGAGAACAAAAAAATCAATCTATTGCGTCTGCCGCCTTATTCCAATAGCTTTAAACATCCTTAAGGCAGCTGGCTTCACAGATGGAAATGTCATGGGTGTACGACTTCTTCTCTCATTTTTTGACAATAACGGCAAAGTTGACAAAGCTTGCAAGCCACGACGAATGATATTCTTCTTTTTCTTCCTTTGCAAGTGTACATGTGTCGTTTTTCACAGTTCTTTTCGTCGCCCTGCATGATTGACAAAATAAAACATAATGAGTTACAAGTCCGATTTTCCGTTGTTGAAATTGACTCATGAATACCAATACAAAATATATGGCAATTGCACTAAGTCTTCATACAAAACAATTGCAGTATTTCTCTTCAGAAAACGCACAGTTCCAAAGCTAGGTAAATAAACATTACATCTGAGGGATCGACACAATGGGAGATGAGTGCATGTGATGTACTCACTAATCCGCATATAGTATTATATATTGCTCCTAAGATAAGAAAGTGCTCACCTCGATGGCTAACTCTCAATTTTTCTTCAACACGACCTTCTGTCACACCTTCTATATGCAATGGCGCAATAGGAGATTCCTCGATAGCTATCATGAGGTTAGCAGACTGTGGTGTTTGAGGTTGTTCAAGCGTTTGTTGAGGTTGTACAAGTACAACTTGCTCCGGTGTACTTAGTACTATATGTCCTTCATCGTCTTCGATGCCTTGTACATGGAGAGTTTCTTCCTCCTTTACGCCCTCAAAAGTGTCATGGAAAATGCCGCTTACTTCAACTGGCATCGTCGACGACGACATCTGCAATTCTGTGAGTGTACCAGTAATATCCACTTCCATAGCGACACTGTCGCCCACTAGTATCGTAGTCGCCCAAACTTGGTCAGTTGTACCCACGCCCTCGCAACTCACACCGCCTTTTCGTCCTGAAGTTTTGGCACTCGCACCGGCAATCAATCCCCATTGCTGTGTCGGGTTGGACTCAACCACGAGTTTCTCCGCTCGGTCAAGCTGGGAGCGCTCCAATAGTGGACCCCTGTCGTGTTCGACTTGACCGTGTGACCCTTCGACAGGTGAAACAACGTCGATTGGTCCCGAAGCCTTGCCACCTGTACCGGCGATTGATCCCGATCCCACTGTCGGGTTCGACTCGATAGTGAGTTTCTTCGCTTGGTCAAGCCGCGAGCGCTCGAATGCTGGACGAGTGTCGTGTTCGACACGACCGTGTGACTCTTTGACAGGTGAAGCACCGCTGATAGTTGTACTGCCCCCTCGTGGTCCCGAAGCTTTGCCAGTCGCACCGGCGATCGTTTCCGATCCCACTGTCGGGTTCGACTCGACCGTGAGTTTGTTCGCTTGGTCAAGCCGGGAACGCTCCAATGCGAGGCCACTGTCGTGTTCGACTCGACCGTGGGACCCTTCGACAGTTGAACCACCACTCGATCCTGATCCCTTGCGCTCTGTTTCTTGAGGCCCCTGAGACCCTTCGACAATTGAACCACCGCCGCTTGGTCCTGTAGGTTTGCCATGCCCACCGCCGCTTGGTGCTGATCCCTTGCCTTCTGTTGCTTGACGCCCCTTAGACTTTTTGGTTTGTTGTCGTTCCCCACGACTTGCGTCCTTGCCGCTTGCATTTGGTTCCGGACCCTTGTCACTTGCATCGCTCCCCGATCGTAATCCTTTGCCATGCGCACCTCCGCTCGATCCGGATCCCTTGCCATGGTCACCACCGCCGCTTGATTTTCTCCTCTCCCCAAGATCTTCTCTGACATGCCAATAATATCCATAAGCCGGGCTGGTTTGTCTATCATAGAACTCTTCCAGATACTCAAGCCACTGCGATGTTTTGAACTCTTGGAAAATTTCTTCCGTTCTTACATCTAGTCTTGATTGAGAAACCTCCGGATTAAGTCGCAGGAGTCGCTTGGCAATCTGATTTTTGGCATGTTTCAGAAAGTTCGATCCAGACATACGTCTGTGGAGGCAAAACTGCCACTCCCCTTCTTCTTTTATAGCCATAACCCACCTCCCTCTCGCCAATGCAGGTTGGAAGTGTTGGCGGTGCCATATAATGTGATGACCCCATGTGGCATCATCCGTCATCGTATAATCGTCTCCGCACACTATATGCCCCGGAAGCAGTCGAATGTCTGCAGGGATTGTGTCTCCTATCTCGTACTCCAAGGACTCATCAGGTGGAGGTTGTTGTGGAGTTCGAGAGCGTCACAATTCCATAATAATACTTGGGCTGTGTGCAAATGGTGCCAGAGTTGCCACCAACTCTGGGGAGAGCATTGCTAGAACATTCGGATCCAGACTGCCTCCTGATGCCACCGTCATCGTATTGCCCGCCATCTGAGTCGGTGTAACAATAGAAGAAGTCGGCGGCTGAGTCATTAACTGATCCGTTGAAACTGCCATGCTGGAAGCTCCTCCAAAACCGGACGATGTGCCTGGAACACCCATTCTCTGCGAATGCGAAGCCGGGCTACAAGCTCTTTGCCTCTCAGCTGCCAAAGCCGCTTGCAAAGTGCCATCAACACTCTCTTCTTCTAAGTCGTTGGCATCAAAGTCCTCACCATCCACAAAACAAGTCACATAACCTGCGATTGTAAATGCCCCGATTTGTTGGTCGAAGTACATTGTCTCCAAGCGGTCGAGAAATGAAACCTTCCTCTCCGATGGTGCTTTATGATAACCCCTAAAAAGTTTCTCCACTTTTCTTCTTCTGAGGACATAAGTACATTCCCCTCTGTCTTGCGGCTTTGTTTCGAAGAGAAACTCCCGAATATTGACCACGTTTTGGCCAACCTTGTAGACGAGATCATGCCCTTCATCATGTCGAGGAGGCGACTTAGTAAAGTTGGCGTAGTAATCTCGAGTTTTGACCATCTTGTCAATGAATTGAGTGAGAAACTCAAACTTCATACCCTCCCCTTCCAGCACAATGCAATGACGTTGACTCTTTAACAGTTCCCAAACCAATCCCGCACGACCTTTCCTGAGGAAAACGACAGCCTCATCCGCAGGACAAAAATGCTCCAATGTCTCCACCATTGCATTCGGCTCCCTTTCCATACCGTCATAGACCACTTTCTCAGGTGGATCCATACCTGCCATTTTTCACTTTGATGGTAGAAAGTTCTTCTCCACGACATCAGTCAACATCTTCGGCTTTCTCTCTCTCCGCACAAGTGCCGATATGTCAGCCACCCGCTCGACAGATGATGGACCTGCAACTTGAATATCTTCAAACAAGGGAATAGTGTTGCGATGAAAATCCCCGTCCTTGGAGTACATGATGACCACCATTTTGTCTGTGTCCTCCAAAGGCAAGTTTGCAACCTTATACACTTTCCCCTTTGTTTGTTGTAGACGAGTCCATTTGAGAAGATCCAAGTGAATGTCCCACATCGCGACTCGCCTCAAGAATGTGAACTTGCAAGGGCGTGAAACGAAGCACAATAATGTCCAATACTCGCCGCCAAGTTTGTCCATGAACTTCTTGAGTCCATGAAACACTTGTTCAGTCCATGCACCCATCTGGGTCGGGCGACACAAATCCAGGACGGCTGAGTGGCACGTCTGGTGTCTGACGGCTCTAAAGATTTCCTTGCAATCCATCTCGTCTGAAACATCGCTCGGTTCCCACTGGAACGACACGAATACAGATGTCACGTCCTATTTCTGGAAATATATATATCTCGCTTGTCCCGACATACGAATGCTATGCGAACCCCCAGTTTCAGATCTACGCAACAACTTGTTGACAAATTGAATGAACTCTTCGGGGCATTTGTTTGCAAGCGATTTTGTTTTCTTGAAGCTCTCCTCTTCTTTCTCATCCTCGCCTCCAAGTGTAGCCGGAAATGACCGTACCCAACTCGTTTCTTTGAAATGCCGTCGCTGGTCGATCCACCTCTCCGATGTCAATCCTTGATCACAATACTTAGCGAATAAATCAGAAAGGTTGTCGAAGAATGGTTCCTTCCACTCTGATGACTTCTTGTGAGGGTCAGAAATGAAGACGAAGTAGTGAAACATTCTCAACATTGCTCTTTCCTGCTTGACCATTTCCACGTATGTCTCCATCGAATGTTTTCCGGCAGTGTGAGCAGCTTTACTTAGCGTTGGAGCGAGTATGACACTTCCCGCGAGAATGTCTCGCAACAACTGAAGCCTCTCACGCCTCCCCAACGTAGACATAACCTTCCATGATCTGACATCCGGATCGCGCACAGCCACGAGGTCACCAGGTCCTCTAGTACCCTGAATCCAGTGCATTGGAACCCTGATTCCTTTTTTCAACTCGAATCCGGGGCCAGGTCTCGACGCTTTCCCCGATTCACCTTGTTTGGTGGCAGACTTCACACCATCTCTCCTCGACAACTGTCCACTCTCCCAAGCATAATATACTTGTTGCACCTTCTCGAACACATCGTCCGTCGCCCTTGCCAATACCATGTAAGGTCCGAGGAAGTGAGACCACTCCTTGCTCCAAGCCTGAAGTGAAAGAGTAACCAAATGATCACTCCCGGTCGCGCGCAGAGCCATCGCCGCAAACTCTCTGTAATCCTTATTTTTGACGTCTGCAGCAGATCCGCCTATAGCTTCTGGACGACCGACTGCTTGCCACAACTTTCGTATGTTCTCAATGATAGCAATCTGGTGCGGAGGAGTATTCCATTTGTCCTTCGTATTTTGGAAAGTGCTCAAGGTGCAGTAATTCTCCATGCTCCTATCCGGATAGTAAACAGGCCTTGCAGTCCAGCAATCCAAACGGAGCTCACGGGCGATGTCAGGGCGTTCTTGAGAACATTTCCTCGTCGCCGCAACATTGTGTTGACCACTGAGAGGGTACCAGTAGTACTTGTGCACGGATTGGAGATCGAATTCCCCGAGCGTCACTCTTCTCGCCCTCACATTCGTACCGGAAGCGTCAGTATGCATTGTATCATGTAGCCCAATCAACAAAAGGACAGGCTTCTCGTACAATGCACATACATTCACTCCGACTGCCACGGTCGTTCTCTCTCTGATAGCTGCCTCACCCGACTCAACCATTGTTTTGTAAAGGTCATCAATAAGCTCCTGATCGAGGAAGCGTTGATTATATCTGAATTTCTCATCAGGGATATCCAGAATCCTGTCCAACTTGACAGAAATGAACTGCATTTCCGACCTCTGTTTACCATTCTCGTCGAACTCAAGGAAGAAGCCTTTGCTCAGATGACCAGAAAAATTCCCAGGCGGCAGAATCTGCAAACTGGGCGGTCTGGTGACTGTCTTGCCCACAACGTCTTCATCCGACTGTGGCTGGTCCGGTGGAAAAACGGAAGTTTTTTCCATCACACCTCCTTTCGCTGCTTTTTTCCCTTGGCTACCGTTTTTTCTTCATGGCCTCCTCAGCCTCCCACGTACGTTGGACGACCTCCTCAACTGCCAGCATTTTCAACTTGCGTTTGCCCTCCTCTTGCTTGGCTCCCCCCTCCTGCTTGGTTTTCTTACTGTCCAAAACACTTCTCCTCTCTTGCCTGTTCTTCCTTTTCTTCTCAGCTAGTCAGACTGCATCGGCATGCACCGGCTCGACCCCAACTTCGCGGTGCATTTCCCCGCTCCCTGGATCCACTTCCCAATGCCCATGACCCGACGCGAGCAGCTGCGTTCGTTTGGAACCCCAATGCACATCTTCATACCCTCCCTCGCCGGTCGTTTCCTCTTCTTGCCCTTCGTYCTCATACTCAACCCCTAGACGACCCTCCAATTCGCCCGGCCCACCCCTCTCGCTGATTGTGTGCTCACTCTCTACTTCCTCTTCTCCGCCACCCTCCTCATATTCTTCGCGTTCTTCATCGCGTTCCCAATCTTCCTCGCTGTTCTCCTCGTCGTCATCTCCAAAATAATGCGACCCAACAAGAACGACCAACTCATAGCGTGGCGGGCGGACCAAGGAAACGGGTTCCTTGGTTGATGTTGGTCTACGCTTCACAGGGGCTGACGGCACGATTTGCCCGCGACACGGACCTTTCTCCCCGATCTGCCCAAATTTCGGAACTCGTGTTGCAGCAACCGTAGTCCGAAGCGATGGCGTTGGGCGGACACCTATAATGATTGGTTTCGACGACGGAGCCGCCTCCGCAGCAACCGTAGTCCGAAGTGATGGTGGTGGGCGGGCACCTATAATGATTGGTTTCGACGACGGAGCCGCCTCCAAAGACGCCGAAAACATGCTTTATGCACCACCGGCTCATGCCCTGCGACCGTATTTTTGTCGAAGAATGTGAAAACCGCTCGAAGGTCCGGCAACGTCAATTTCTGCGTCCCGGACGGATTGAAAATGTCATAAAGCTTCTTGACGTACCCAGCATGTTTGGCCCAATGAAGAGCAATGCGTTTGACATTCGTCATCCGCTCACCTCTAGCGTTAAGGACCATCGTCAACTCCAACATGGCGAACTGTGAATTTCCTCTACTCCACTTCACCACACCGCCAATCGGAACAATGCTATCTTTGATCACCACGTACAAAACCAGCCCATCCGAGGGTTCCCCGATTCCACCCACCCAGTCCAACATCCAGCACCTGTCTTTGTGGTCGATAGGAACCTCGTCTCCCACACCTGCAACGGACGTGTCACCAGACCTTCTACGCCTGGACACAACGTCCATCGTAGATTTCCCCTGCCGACCACTAGCCTCCTCTTCTCGACCCGCAGCCCCACCAGTCATCAGCACAGCCGAATCCGGTCCCGAACCTCGAACATGGGCGGAAGGAGTGCCCATAGAAGGTGCACCCCGCAGCACAGGGGTTCGGTGGCCCTTAGACCCCGGTGTGTCGCCAGCCCCCACGCCAGCCGTTGGTGTCCCCTTCGTTTTTTTCGGAGACTGCTTCATACTCCCGGAACCAGTACTAGTACGTCGTTTGCTTGGCTTCCCCTCGCGATCCATGTCGAGCAGCTAGTCGCAACTGAAGAAAATGCACAAGCGAGAAAGCAGTCATTGCTTTGCCAACGTGCAAACACCACAACACTTGAGAACAAGAAGAGACAGGAATACAGAGCAACGGAAGCGGGCCGCAGCCCACTAGCTCGTCGTCGTTTCACTGTCGTGTCGAACTCGACGACCGTGCCACGACGTCCTCCAGTACCGTCGAATTCGACACGAGAGCGACATTGCGGTGTCGTCGAGTCACTGTCGTGTCGAACCCGACGGCCGACCAACTCGTCGTCCTGCTCGACGTCGAGCTCGGCACTGCGCGGGATGACCAACCGTCGTGTTGGACACGATAGCTACACTGTTGTCTGCCGTGCGACAGTCGACCAAGCGGCCCTTCATGCACCGTTTGGTCGCCAGATAACAGTGTCCATGTCGTGTTCGACACGATGGTCGCCAAACGGTGCCTGAAGGGGAGCTGACCGTCGTGTTCGACACGACAGCGACACTGTCGTCTGCCGTTCGACAGTCGACCACGTGCCCCTTCGGGCACCGTCTAGCGACCGTCGTGTCGAACACGACAGGGACACTGGGGTGTGCTGTGCGACATTTGTCGTGTTCGACACAACGGTCGTCGTGTTCGACACAACGGTCGGCGGCTACCATCGTGTCGAACACGATAGCGACACTGGGGTGTCCTGTGAGGCATTTGTCGTGTTCGACACAATGGTCGGCGGACGGTGCCTAAAGGGGCACTTGATCACGAGAACACAAGACAACAGATCGCAGGCACTGGTTAACACGGAGAAACATTGACTGATGAATGTTTGTGCACGCAAAACATCAGAACAACGAGTTTTTTTTTCCGAAAGGAAACACAACATGAGAACAACAATCAAACACTCGGCTGACAGCGATGTGTCGGTGTCCACAGCCAAACCAAAAACACGTGTCATCATTCCCGGGTTTCAATGAATCGAAAAACAATATGAGGACAACAACGTCAAACGTGTGTACTTTTGGCGACTGAACACATGATGAGAACAACTAGCAGATACCGTGTATTGTTATCGAAATAACACATTTAGAACAACAATCGCAATGCGAATTCCACGAGGCTATCTATTGACTACGGGGAACAATTTCACCGTTGCGGCCATTGCGACCATTGAGTATGCCGTTTTGGCCATTCAGTATGACGAAGGCTATCTACCGACTACGGGGAACAATCCCGCCGTTGCGGCCATTCAACACGCTAATTGGCGATCCGAAGGTCAGCTGCTGAGCCGTCTCAGCGAACACCGAAATGTATGTCATTCGCACGAACCCGGAGTTCCCGACGAGAGAAGCGCCTATAGCATCCCGAATTGAAACGACTTTAGTCTCGACCTCGCGCCATGCGACAACGTCCTCCACCTGGCCACCCACCACGATATCCAGTCTCCCATCTACCCTTCTTTGAACTAAACACATATCCCTCCCGGACATAGACAACTCGTTCCTGGACACATACACGACAACATCGGTCAAGTTTCTTGCCCTGCTCGAAACGGCAATACAAAGGACCCTACAGAAGATAAAGTATGCTAGACGCAATCTCACACAACAATACGAAACTGCTCTTGGCGACAGACCGGGAGATCGCAACGGATAATGATCGAGGAACTGAGAATGTCGCGCACAATCGAGTAACTCCTGTTTCATAACACGGCACCATGTGTGAGGCGAGGTTGTCACGTATTCGCAGTCCAAAACCCCCACAACACGGCTTATTTTTAGCTTTTTACACAGTAGCGGCAAGCGCACGGGACGCAGCACATCGAACGACACGGGAATAAGTTTGCCGAATTCGGACATATTCGCGAACTCATAATCGCACGCCCATGGGCATCTCTCCGTCATGTTCACCCACTCGCACTCCTCCCACGAGTCCAAATGTTTGCCGCCAAACGGGAGGATTCTCATCCAAGGGTCGCATTCGAAGTCTTCTGGACAAGCGCCTTCATAGGTTACGCTGCCCTGACATTGCCGGACGTACAGCGCGCAAGGCGGGAAAAGGGTGTGCCTTGCGTGCACGCCAAAGTGCTGGGGTCATATTAGAGATCTCCATAGCAACAGTGAAGAGAAGACGCCCTGCACGGCACAAGGGCAACGGTCAACAACAGTAATAGAACAACCAACAGCAACATAGAACTATTCACCCCGCTCCCCCCAACAATGGAAACAAACCAGGCCACACGACCCATAGCACTGCACACAATCATGAACGATTCGATGACATTGCACCTCGCACAATCTTATTCCACTAGAGGACAGGGAAGGATCGTGTTCGACTCGACGACAGGGCACTCGCCTATCGTGTTTGACTCGACGAACGCAATCCACGATCGTGTTCGACTCTACGATCGTATTCGACTCGACGATCGTGTCCGACTCGACGATCGTGTTCGACTCGACGAACGCAATCGACGATCGTGTTCGACTCGACGATCGTGTTCGACTCGACGATCGTGTCCGACTCGACGATCGTGTCCGACTCGACGATCGTGTTCGACTCGACGAACGCAATCGACGATCGTGTTCGACTCGACGATCGCGTTAGACTCGACGATCGTGTCCGACTCGACGATCGTGTCCGACTCGACGATCGTGTTCGACTCGACTATGATGTTCGACTCGACGAACGCAGTCAACGATCGTGTTCGACTCGACTATCGTGTTCGACTCGACGATCGTGTTCGACTCGACGATCATGTTCGACTCGACGATCGTGTTCGACTCGACGATCGTGTTCTACTCGACGTCCGGACACGATCGACGATCGTGTCCGACTCGACGTGTTCGACTCGCCTATCGCGTTCGACACGACTATCGTGTCCGACTCGACGTGTTCGACTCGCCTATCGTATTCGACACGACTATCGTGTTCGACTCGACGAACGCAATCAACCATCGTGTTCGACTCGACTATCGTGTTCGAATCGACGATCGTATCCGACTCGACGATCGTGTTCGACTCGATGATCGTTGTTCGGCTCGACTATCGTGTTGGACTATTCGATAGTGTTCGACTCCTCGATAGTGTTTGACTCGACGATCGGTCACTGTCGTGTTCGACTCGACGATCGGTCACTTTCGTGTTCGACTCGACGATCGGGCAGTGTCGTGTTCGACTCAACTATCGTGTTCGACTCGACGATCGTAGTGTCGTGTTCGACTCAACTATTGTGTTCGACTCGACGACTGGGCAGTATCGTGTTCGACCTGACGATTGGGCAGTGTCGTGTTCGACTCGACGATGGGCAGTGTCGTGTTCGACTCGACGATCGGGCAGTATCGTATTCGACTCGACGATCGGGCACGATCGTGTTCGACTCGACGAGCGTGTTCGACTCGACGATCGGGCACGATCGTGTTCGACACGACGATCGGACACGATCGTGTTGGACTYGACGATCGGGCGTGATCGTGTTCGACTCGACGATCTGGCACGATCGTGTTCGACTCGACGACCGGAAGTGCCACGTGGCGTTACGTGGTTGCATCTGGGCTGCGTGGTTGTGTCCTCACCGTCCGATCCTTCAAACTCGGGGTGCTCCGCTGTGGTTGTGCGTCGCGATCTTGGGCCGTATGCTCGCTCCGTCGTCGCGCTGAACACGCCTCTCGACAGCGCTGTGGTCCCCCGTCGCGTCGAGCAAGTGGTCTGCTATGCACGGACCGAATCCCTGCGCTCCGTTGCCGCGCTGTACACGAGCCTCCACTGCGCTGCACTGTGGCACGAGCCTCCGCTGCGCTGCGCTACTGCTGTGTTGCCGAACTGAAACGAAAATGGGAACTGGTGGCCCCCCCTCATATATATAGTTTTTTGGGAGGGCCCTTCGCAGGCACGTGCCGGTCGTCTGATCCGGGGATACTGACGGTCAGGATGTTCCAATGGGGAGTGGTGGGCCTGCCTTATATATGTGGTTTTCCGGGTGGGCCCTCCGTGCGCGCCTGCTGGCCGTCCGATTCGGGAATACAGACGGTCCAATCCGAGAATACGGACGGTCGGAACGATCCAATGACTGCAGTCGTCCGTGATCGTTTTCCCCCCTTGGCCAGAGCGGAGGCGCAGGGATGACGTTCAGCTGCAGAGCAGAAATGCGATTCACGCACATGAGTACCCGCGACATTGTGTCATTGTTCTCGTTCTAGGAGAATCAGTGCAGCGGTCTGCCAACGTCGACACAACAACTGCCCCGCTCTCCAGGTTAGTGCCGCTTCGGCCAACACGGCCCCCCCCTACCCCCCCGCGAGACCCCCCCCCCCCCCCCCCCCCCCCCCCGCGAGAGAAAGAGAAAAGCCTCCGTGGACGGCTATGTCCAGTGCTGGTTTATCGGTGACGTCAACAAGTTTTCTCCAACACTTTCATCGGAGTCGTCGCCGTGTCGAACACGATGGTCGACACGGTCGTCGTCTTGTCGAACACGATGGTCGTCGTGTTGAACACGATCGTTGTCTTGTCCGACACGCTGGTCGTCGTGTCAAACACGATGGTCGTCGTGTTGAACACGATCGTTGTCGTGTCCGACACGCTGGTCGTCGTGTCAAACACG